TACATTTCTGATACTAAATTTATTGGTGTTAGGTTAAATAATCGTTTTTAATTGCACGTTAATTATTTTGCACCGATATATAGCAAAATATAATTTAATGAATCATCAATTTAACAATTAGTTATCAAAATAAATAAGCATGTCAATACCATACCGACTTCATATATTGTTTTAGAGTTCGGATAGATTTTTTTATAAAATAGTTACAGCTAGACGAATCAGTTACAAAATCATAAGTGTATTTTTAAATACTTCCTTAAATTACTTACCTACGCCTACGATCTTATAGTTCCTAAGTAAACAGTCTCACTCGATCTGTACAGGTTCATCATTCGACTTGCCTCTCAACTTTCGACTTTATGTCAACTAATATTTTAGTGCTTTCATTTCAAGTCATTGCTCTTAAACTAGTAAACTAACTGACAACGTCAAGAGAGTACTTAATGGAGCGAATCTCAACTCAAAGACACTTGAGTGCAATGTTTAAAATCCATTAACTATGTAGATATATTTATACTTGGCCCAACTTAGGAATCATATACGACGGTAACGCTTGCGGGCATTCGATCAAAGCAGTAAAATGCTTAATTAAAGATCCAGAAACATAATAATTTAATACAAAAAATGACAAGTCATTAAAACTCTTTAAATCATTAATAATTCATTGGTCTAAGTACCCACCCATCATTTGTTACCTCTGTTTAATTAACTCGAGTAAATAGAATACCTGTATTTATTATTGACATGGAATATATCACGTCGACGGTAATTATTAGTTGTAGCCCCATGGACGAAGTTTCAAATCGAGGCCTTACTAATCATGTCTATAGAGGCAATTAAAGGACTGATTTTATTGTATCGAATACAAACCTTTCGAATATCACAAACTAGCCACAAATTTATGTTGATCGATTCTTCGACGTACATTAATTTGTGGTTTTCTCAAGTCTTCATATCCATTTTTCGCCGTCGTTCCAAGCGATAGCAGTTCACACTACTACTCACACAGTACTATTGTGATACTAATTGGAGAATCTCGCCTGTTGTATTTCCGAACTGAGACAATCTTCAAGAAAAATAGTATTCACCTTTGAAAGGTTACATACCATCAATTAAGTGTGTGCATTTGTTCCTATTCTATAAAAAAATCTAATCACTACCAGTCAGTTTGGGAAAATTAACGATTACTATAATTACTTGCGGTGAAAGAATTGGGTACCTGGGGCTATCATAATAACATAACATAACATAACATAACATCATGCCACTCTATCCCCGAAGGGGTAGGCAGAGGTACGCATTACGGCACTTAACGCCACTGTACCATTGTACAGTGGCGTTAAGTGCCTATTACATTTAATAGGGGGTGAGCCTATTGCCATATACCGGGCACATTTCCAGACTCCGTGCTACTACTGAGATTTTTAAAACCTAGTAATACTTTGCTCGACCCGGGAATCGAACCCGAGACCCCTTGCCCGGCAGTCGCAGTTGCGACCACTCGGCCAACGAGGCAGTCTACCATATACACACTATTTAATAGATATTGGGACTACAATTCTTTCTTCGTGGTATTCTCTGAAAGTCTTTCGAAGACTGGCAAAGGAACTCCTTAGAGAAAAATTGTATACTTGCTTTGATTGCTTTATTGTCCAAACTAACCTACACAATAAAATATAATGAACATATCTTTTAGTGGACAACCGACATTGTTCGTCTAATACTCTACGGAACTCTTCAAAAAATAACGGTCTATTGATTCTGGTTTGGCTAATGTCTTTATTAAGGTAGAATGCTCTTTGTTAGCGACAAGTTTGTAGGTCAACTTCTTCGCAACTTCGGAAGTTTCAAGAACAAGTTTATTTGAAATAACTTTAAAAGTGAACATTGTGATGCTTGTTTTACGTCTTTAAGGTTGAATTTTTTTGGTCTCACTGAGCCCAGTGATATTTTTGTCATTATTTTACCTTTAATATTTTTTCTGATTTTTAGAAAAGCATATAGGATCAGCAGTGTAATTGAGTAGTATTTAATATGTTCATAAAGTTTCGAAATGTCTGTTATAAGGTTCATTATGTGGTAAAATAAAACACATTTTGGGGCCCGTTATATATTAATAAAGAGATTAAACATTTGATTACATTAATTTGATTAACTTGCTATATTTGATTATCATGCGATTAAATATGTTATTACATCTATTGATTAAATATTTTGCTACAACAATTATTGATTACATAATTTGCTACATTTATTAATTAAACATTTATTTGACTATAATAAAATCTGGAATATACGAACTATTTTTTATGACCTAAATTAATCTTAGTGTAAAAATACATCAGTTCTGGAAAAATGCAAGCGAGCCTGAGCCCTGAATTAATCGAAAGGATCAATTGCATTATTCCTCTTTTTTCTCCTTTGTAATTTACGCACGGACAGATACCATTTTCATTAAGCGTTATGTACTAATAAACAATACAAATACAGAACGCATTTATAAAATATTTACCAATTAAGATATTTTTAACACGCTCACGACGTATTGTGTATACTGGATAGAATTTATTATTAACAAATGCGTTCCAAATTGTACCCTCGCAAAATAATTTGTCTTTTTAATAATGTAGCATTTCTTATAATATCGATGTAAATATTCAGACACGTCACCATTTACCAAAGTTATTTGATTGCGTATAGTATAGTAACGATTTTTTTGTACTTTTTTTATTAATTTTTTTGTTAACTTACTTTTTATGATCGCAATCAAATAGCTGGTTTTCTTGTAACATGTGTATCGATTGTCAACCCGCAAACATGGATACAAAAATATTTTGTGTAAATAGCTGTATTTGTTGTAAATAATTATATTTTATGTAAATAACTGCATTTTTTTATAAACTCTCTCAATAAACCTTTGCTGATCAAATTGTGTGTGTTTTTTATGTTTCTAATTCTATCTTTTTATCTACATCTACTACTACTAGTTGCCTACGTTTCATTTTTTTTTGGATTTTTATATTATTTTCATTTATTTTTATTGCTTTTTATTTTTTCATTTTTTTGTTAGTTTGCATTTTAATAATTTTGACATATTTTTTTTCATTTTTTTACAAAATTCGATCAGCAAAAATTTTAACAGCAACTCAATATCGACATATATGGATGGACAAGGTTAGTAAGTACCTTTTGTATGAATGTTATAGTAACGGCGTCATAGTAGTTGTATACAGGCTCATGTATACTAGAACCACTATGACGTCGATCACTAGTCATCAATATGGGGCCTATTTTTCTATAAAAATACACACGACAGTAGACCAACTGCAGTCCATCCACTAAACTTTTCTATCCGTAATAAGCCCTCGTAAATAACAAACCTTTTTTTGTATTTTTTTTCATTTTTTTTTTCATTTCTCTGAATAGGATAGACAACAATCAGTCTGATCTGTTCGCATTCTGCGTAAATTGTACTTCCTTTACTTCATTCACAGTTTAGCACCCTTACAAACTCATGTATTCTTACTTTAGTCTACTTTCGACTTAAACGTTATGGATAAATATTTTAATTTTAATTTAACTAACAATTTCTACTGATTATATTAGTTAGTATAATATATTTATGCCTATATTCGCTCCTAGCAAGAGCACTGAAGTGCAATACGCACGGCTCTTGCTTCTCCACTCTGAACGCCCAAAGCAGGCAAACCAGAGGTGGAAGACCCTTCCTCGTCTCTTCATTTTTCACTCCAGACGGCCGATTAAGGCGAGCTGGAGATGAGGAACGGCGGTTCTCCCGGGAGCATTCGGTAGCTACAGACCCATGGGGCGGGGCAACCCCAACACCTCTAGAGGTGACCTGCTTTCTGATTATAACTAAGTACCTATTGATAAAATTGATTATAGTGGTATTTTAACTATTTGAAGCATACTACAGAAATTATTGTAAATAATCTTTGCACAGCCATGTGATGAACTAACGGTTCTCCGTTTTGTGTTATCTATATTTAATTTACTAAAATTCTAAGTTATTATGGACTAAAATAATTATGGATTGTTAAATAAAATGCTCAAAAGCTAAGACGCTGTAAATGATAGATTTAGAAACCAAATGGCTGGCCAAAAATAGTCAAAATTGATAGTTTTGAAATCATAAAATGTTTTTGATTTTAGATTGATCTATTGCTTTTTTGTGAATATACCAGTTCAGTTATGAACGCCATCGGATCCGACATCGTCATCATCCGGGAAAGCATTGTAACTGTAAATATGATTGGTATTGAAAATTTACATTTGCGTCATCCGATGCGTGTCAATAGATTTAATGGCAGACGAAGAAGTCGTGTAAGCACAGTACTATGAGCTAAATGGCATTTAAACGCTTATCAATCGAGAGAATAGAAAACTCAAAGCATGGGATTGAAACTGACATTATGTCATAATGTAGGTCAAGCCCATACATTAAATTTTTTATTATCTTGGTCGACTATGCCTTGAATGTCATTTGGCTAATAGGACAGTTCTCACAGGATCATCTTCTCAATGATCTTGTCCCAACGCATCTTCAAACGCTTCTGTAAATCTGCATTCGGAGCTTAAACCTAACGGGCCCCATTTTTTTTTTGGTTTTTTTGTAGTTTTTTTTTTGTCACTACGGTACCTATTTTAAGTAAACACATTTATTTTTTTCCTAATTTCTAACAATTACGAATGATTATAACTATATTATTAATTATTAATCAAATTATGTCTAAGCTCTTAATGCGTTACGTAAGCCTTATTTTACAATCAAAATATATAAACGTTTATAATAGGTGATAAAACTTTTCTTAGTTTAATTCTTTCTTCTTATAATAAATCGTCCAAGACTATACATGATTAAATATTTTTCTACGATTCTACATTTTCTACTAAGAACCTGGAATATATTCTAGAGATTTTTAATTAAATATTAAGTTATTTTAAATCCGAGTACCATTTTGCAAACCAAGGTCAAATTTTCATAGATTGCTTTGGGCGTCTTCTTTAGCCCGCAGGAAATATGTAATCATATCGATGGGAAGGGGAAAAACGATGGTGGAGTTTTTCTCTGCGGAAATGGTGTTCAGAGTCTGAAACAATATTTTTTGTTATACCTTTGAACCTAGACTCCCATCTATAATTATAACTATCATTCTAGCGGATCAATGCCAAATACTTCATGCTAAATACTGAAAAAATACCTATTTGGTTCTTTTTATTTATGGAATCATAGGCTTCGCGCTTGTTCTGTTCCTGTTATTATCAAAACCGGTGTTTACATTTCGCCATGTGAACGAGTCATTGAAGAACCAATCCCATCCCCTTTCTGGTATTGCGGGTGTATTAACAACGTGAAATGCTTAATATCAGGAGCGCCGTCCATTCATTTGCCGCCTCATCAAAGTTCAGTAGTGTTATCCATTGTATTACCTTTACAAGAAACAGAGCTGCCTTACCTGTAGGTAGCGTAGTTGTAGTGCGGCAGGACTGTCACCGATGACCTCAGAGGCCTCCCGTAGGGCCCGTGAGGCCTTTTGCTCTCCCTCCGCAGCGATGACCTTTGCCCTAGCTTCCCTTGCAGCCTCAGCTTCAGCAGCCATAGCGCGCTGAAGCTGAACCGGCAAACGCACGTCTTTGCTATTGAAATAATAAAATAATATTCATCTCTATTCTCTGAAATAATCTTTCGATAAGAGCGTTAAACTGGCACTTCCTCACGCAAGTATTTTAAAATTATCCTGATGAGACTTAGCTCCTGACTACATTGAGAAAATGAACCGAAAACTGTTAACTCGATTTGTTATTAATTTTCATATGTACTTTCTAAAAATAGAGTAGATAGAACTTTCATTTAACAAAGATAGATAACTAAAAATACCACATTCTGCCCGCATAGTCAAAATATTCGCGATATTTGCAAACACGGCGAGTTCAGTGCATGTATCCGCAAACTGATTGCATTCTTTGTTCCAAATGATCCGCGTTGAGCCCGCATGGTAGTAGTGACACGTGCGCCCAAATAATATTATCTCCTCGACAGCCGTACGTAACAAGCTGATGTTACTTCAATATGTGAAATAACACACCATAGTCCATGCATTGTTGCATTCAGTCATATCACAAACAAAACGTACTTGACAGTTTTTTTCATAAAAGTAACATACATAACCCCTATGGCATTACTTTGATTAACGATAAATGGTATTCTACCGTTTTCATTTTGAAGAAAACAAAGAACATTATTATTTTTACTGGCTTTCTATTCTAGTTCGGCGAATTATTATTACGATATTTCGGTTTTCGCTTAGAGTACTAAAACTAAGGTTTATCGAAACCTTCTAAGTGTAATTGTCACTAAAAAATGAGAAGACTCATAACACAACTGGTGGAAAGTGACTGTGACTTGGGCACCTTTGCCCGCCCTTTCGGGTATTAAAAAGGATGTTTTATTTAGTTTAATTCTTGGACTTGGACTCACATTTCGACGCGTTCCACCTTTATGCCCCAGGCCTCCGTAGCCTCATCAAGCGAAAGCTGCATGCTGCCGGAGATGGTCTCACGTTCGCTTAAGATCTCATGGAGCGGGCGTGTGCCCATAGTATTGCGGAGAGTTGTCTGAGCGAGGAGCCGAGTCGAGTGGTGAGCGTTTTCAACATTTGCGATGGAAATTGTAGCATTATGTACCCGGTAGTAAACCACAGCGTCTACTGATACGGTTACTGAGTCTTTGGTAAGGACCTGCAAATGGTACTTTGGTAGATATGGTGGCGTAGTTTTTAAAGGTAAGGTAATGCTATTTAGTGTATATTTAAATTAAATCATTGATGTTTAAGCCTTGATGTGGGGCTTCAACCTTCTTTGCATTGCAAAAGTACCAATACAACGTTGCAATGATGACGGTCTTCTGGGAAGGTCGAACTTTTAAGTGTACCTAAGTACATGCAAAATCATTTTATTTAAGTAAAATTTAGTGGTAATGTCAATTACCTCTTGGGGCGGGATATCATATGTCCTGGTTCTGAGATCCACGCGGGCATAGGTGTCAATACACGGCAAGATGAAGAAAATGCCTAAAAATAAATAATTTAATATTATCTACACATAAAATTTTATTTATTTACGAAACCTAAAAATAAATTGAACTAATTGCAATTATTTTTCGCCTTGTTATATTGATAGTGAGGTAAGAATTCTAGACAACCTATATTCCCCCTAATAATTTAATGCTAAGTTTAGTAATACTTACCTGGCCCCTTCGCCCCTCCTGATAGAAGTCGTCCCAACCGAAAGATAACGGCCCGTTCGTACTCCTGTACCACCTTTGAACAAAAAACGTAAATTATAAATATTACAAATAAAGTTTTACAATGTAAATATTATTTTTGGAGTTTATTATTTGTTTTGAATATTACATGACTCATGGTAATTATAATTACAATATTTTTATGGTGTAAAAAATTTACGCAAATTTTTATAAAATAAACTACATAGGTAGTTTATGCGCATAAGCCACTTTTTATCCCTAAAATGCAGATAAAGTCGGCAGGTGCAAGCTACAATTATCTATTTGCAAAATAATCTTATAGCGTAAGCGATTGTAAACTAAACGGAAACTCTGTTTCTTGGATCGAATAAATAATAAGGATTGAAAACTCTACTAATGTCAAGTACTAAGAAATAAACAAAAATGTGTAAGTATCTAATAAAAATGGTTAAGGTAAAATTTTATGTAACACATGCCGTTATAAAAAATTATCCAGAATATTTTTTTATGTTTAATTATTTTTTTTAAACTTTGCCCCACGTTAGGATGTTTTCCTGTATCGTGGGTGCGTTTACAAACATACAAGTTCACATACACATGACACCGAGACCCGGAACAACAATATGTGGATCATACAAAGAGTTGCTCCGTGCGGGAATCGAACCCGCGACACGCGGCAGTGGGTTGCCCAGCAACGACACCAACCGTGTAGTCGAATGTTTTAACGTTCAAAAATGCAATAGTCATTACATATTCATAACAATATTCGCAAAGCATATAATAAAAAAATATTTATTTAGTCAAGTATTATAACATAGGTATTTTATATTATTACTTAATTAGTGTTAAGTTACACTGCCTCATTGGCTGAGTAGTCGCAAGTGCGACTGCCGGGCAAGGGGTCTCGGGTTCGATTCCCGGGTCGGGCAAAGTATTACTGGGTTTGTAAAAACCTCACGGAGTCTGGAAATGTACCCGGTATATGGCAATAGGCTCACCCCCTATTATAAGGGACTCATAACATAAATAGTGAAAAGTGGGTGATACATTATATAGTGTCATTAAGTGCCGTGATGTGCACCTCTGCCTGATGTTATGTTATGTTAAGTTACACAAAAAGCTAATATACAACTTTTTTATTATCTAATCCATAAACTGAATGGAATCTTTTCATATTGCTACACTCCTATTGTTACTAGTCCATATGGAGAACAATACGATTCATGTAAACGGAACCATGCAGGTTAAAAAAAACAAGCGCTATTTTAAAACAGATTCCACTAGCTCCATTCAATACGCAAGCTCGGTGAAAATATTCCTGATAAAACCATGCATGTTATTTTTTGAAACACGTGAATGTATGAACGCGAAATGGAAAAATAACCAGCGCTGCAACCTTGTTTGCTCACCATCAGTTTGGTATGATTCAATAAAATCTATTCAACTGTAACCTCGTACTGCAATATGTGAGCAAATCTTCGATGCAATAGGCTGCCAGTTCGATATCCGTTTGAAGTTAGAAAAGATTTTCTAGTAAGTAACTGAATATTTCATTCCATACATATCCTTTAAACGGAACGCGGCACTTAGACGCAGCTATTTACATATTTACCGTTAGTGCTTATAAATCGATTTATTCAAACATTTTCTAGTCTAGTGAGGACGAAAGAAAATTTTGTTATTACAATAAATAAATAATAGACGTTAGCCAGCATTCACATGTCATTGTCCGATTCGATACCGATATCATGACAGCTTCGCTCGGACGCCCGTGGACTGTCGGACGACAGAGTTATCGTGCGAATAGTCATGTAATTAACTATGATTTTATCGGTAGTATGTGAAAACAACACTAAATGTCGATTAGTCAGATGTCGACTATTATTATCTGATATTGGATTGGTTAATTTGAAAACAGATTGTTTCTTGAATGAAATTTGAATGTAATTTGGTGCTCATTTTCACATTTTTGTAGTCAGTAATTGTATTAATAAAGAAATGTTTATTGCATCTAGTCTATGTTCTAGATCCATCAGCTTAACACAGACTTATCATAATAACAAATATCACTTCCGATTCTAGTAGTATGACTGTTTGCAAATCAATAATTTTGTTTGCACAATGCAAAGCTTTTAATGCTCCACTTAAGATCGAAATACCAACTTTACTTGACCAAGTGAGTTTAACATCGGTGTTGTTACTGGAATCCTTACTATATATATATATATATATATTGAGTTAGGGGCTAGGAATTCTAATAAAAGATTGTATTCTTGTAAATAATTATTTACTTTTATTTACTTGCACATACTTCTATGAAAGGTAAGAACAACAACAGAACGAAACAAAAACATAAAGTGCCACCTAGCAGAACTATTCAAAAACCAAACACTGTAAAGCAGCCAGTGTTATATTTTATTAATTCAATACTCCCACTAAAATATAACACTCTTCAAACAATAAACATATTTAAAACAAACTATTCAATACAAAACAAAATATTATCTCTTAAAGTAATAAAAACCTGAGTTGGTAAAGTCTTAGTGAAAATATCTGCCAACTGACTTTTACTAGGAACATACTTAATTTTAATCAAGCCCAACTCAGCCTTCTCTTGAATAAGCAATTTACCAGTAGATATTACAAGAGCATCATCAACTTATATTATTAAAAATATCTTAATATTATTAAACTTCCCAACAAAAATACAGTTATCAGCTTGAGATTGTACAAAGCCATATTTTAACAGAAAATTACTAAATCTTTTGTTCCAACAACGAGGAGCCTGCTTCAAGCCATACAGGGATTTATTAAGCTTTAATACACAATTTTTATTTAACTTAACTCCCTCAGGTACTTCTATAAAAATATCTTCTTCTAAATAACCATTAAGAAAAGCTGTTTTTACATCAAATTGTTGAATTGCTAACTTATACTTAGCTGCAATAGAGAGAACAATTCTAATAGAATCATATCTAGTTGTAGGAGAGAATATTTCTTGATAGTCAACATCTTTGATCTGTTTGAACCCTCGTGCGCATAAGCGAGCTTTATAACGTTTTTCATTTTTCTCATTCTTCTTAATTGTAAAGACCCACTTTGTAGTAAGCGTTCTCTGATCAGATCTTTCTATTACACTCCATGTATTGTTTTCTTTATGTGCAGCCAATTCCTCCTTGATAGCTTGACACCATTCCTTTTTCTGTGGGCTTTGTAATGCATCATTATATGTTTGAGGCAATGACAACTCAACCAGGTTCGCTTCAAACCGTCGATTATTTCTTGGTCTCAATGTTATGTTTGAGTGTGATATATTTTCTATTTCTTGAGACGGCTCATATGCTGGGTCTTCACTGTTACAGCTCATCAAGCTTTCATCAGACTCATTTTGATTTGTTTCATTTAATTCATTAACTGCATTCACTGATTCTGTTTTATTATTTTGCACAGCATTATCTTCATCATCCATAATACTAATCTGTGCAATATTCTTCCTTATTTCTGTAACCAAATGTTCATCAAAAATTACATTCCTAGATATTTTTATGGTTTTTCTATCTGTATCATACATTCTGTAATTGTTGTTGTCATAACCAACTAATATCATTTTTTTACTCTTCTTTTCAAACTTTGTCCTCAACTGATCTGGTACATGAACATATCCAACACTGCCAAACACCTTCAAATGACCTATTTGCGGTTTAGTACCATACCATAATTCATATGGGGTTTTGCCTGGAGTCTGACTGGAAGATGTTCTGTTCAATATATAAACAGCACATTGTACTGCTTCGGCCCATAGATATAGTGGAACATCTCTCGCATACAACATTGAACGAGCACTCTCCACTATTGTTCTATTCTCTCTTTCAACACGCCCATTTTGCTCTGGTGTGTACGGAGCAGTAAGCTCATGAACTATTCCTTCTTTCTCCAAATAATCTTTAAAAACATTGTTCACATATTCTTTTCCATTATCAGTATGCAATGTTCTAACACCATGCATATATTTATTCTTAACAATATTGTTATATTTCTTGAATACTTCCATAACATCATTCTTATTTTGAATAAAATATACATACCTGAAACTTGTAGCTGCATCCTTGAACAACAAGAAATATCTCATGCCTTGAACTGAAGCTTGACTCATCGGTCCACAGACATCACTATACACCAAGTCCCCAGGCTGTAGTTCTCCTCGTGTAGATTTATGAAATGGAAACCTACACTGCTTTCCATATGCACATGCCTCACAAACAAAACTTAGTTCATCATTTTCATTAATTTTTAGACCTTCTACTGTATTATTAACAAACATATTTTTAATTTGTTTTGTATTAATATGTCCTAAACGTTCATGCCATATTTTTATATCACTTTTATTATTTTGAACTAAGTTACAAGTATTTGAAACTATTGTTTTTATATTCAACTCATACAGATTATTTTCTCTTATTTTTGCACTCATCACTATGTCATTTTCTTTATATATCAAAGCGCTTAAATCCTTCTTTATAATAGAGTAATTTTGTCGTATAATAACTCCTTCTGAAAATAAATTCCTCCGTAGACTAGGAACATATAATACACTATGCAGTTCACTGTTTATCCACTGTCCATTAACATATCTCTTTATCAACACTTTACCAATGCCGGATACTTCTATAGCTTGTTGATTTCCTAATGTTAACGATTTCTGATCACATTCAAACAGCTCCACAAAGAAGTCTTTTCTGTAGGTCATGTGTGCAGAGGCGCCACTGTCTAATATCCACGAATTGTCTTCTGTTTTGTTGCAATCGACTTCCACATTAAATGCCAAGTTGTCAGATGGTTGTGTAGACTTTCTGTACTTATTTTTATTCGGAAAACGACATTCCTTTGCAAAATGCCCTCTTTTTCCACAGTTATAACACTCAAATCTGTGTTTAGTGGTTTTGTTTTGATTCACACTACTCCCACTATGTCCAGATTCAATTTGCTTCGTTTGTTTCTTCCAACCTTTGTTGGCAACAAGGAGAGCTGTCTCTTGCTCTTCCACAGACACTAAAC